AACCCGACCAACTTTATCTTAGCGATCACCCGTCAATTTAAATCAAACATTTTTTAACAATCAATACACTTCCTCACAAAGCATTTCCCAATTAATACTGGGAGGTCATCTCCTTACTTTGTTGAGAATGTTGCCGTGTGAACTAAGCGGGATAATTGCAGCGACTTGTTCCTTATGGGTAAAATACCACCCGTCATGCCGATCAGGATCCTCCCACACCTTCTCGGGATCCTGATCTGCCGACGAGCTCCATTAAAAAACATATTTTAGTGAACGTTACCGAGTTCTAGGCACGTCTAATCACTTAATCAACGTTTTAGTGAGAGTTGAATACATATATATACTGACTGTTCACATCGCTCAATTCGGCTGAACATCACACACACCCTGAACACTTCAGCTTACAAAATCCGAACGCTGCATCTTCCCTTTTTTCCGAACTAAAACAACATCTATTTTGTTTAAATAACAACATGGTGGATCGTTTTTTGTAAATGATACCATGTCTCTCATTTAGCACAGAGTTGATATCCGTTCACAGGCATCTTCACAAGTTCTCGCTGTCATCCAGCGTCCACTGTATCCTGACTTGTATCTTCACATGAGCTCCAGTGTGGCGAACCCACTTCACCCGACTGGTGGATCAATCGCATCCATTCGACGCTGGGCTTCATTATACTTACATCTTATCTAACCCACGCGGCGCGGGTTCCAAGTCAAACTGGGAGGTTTTCCCTTGACGCGAGGGGCAGATCACGTACCAATCACGGCCCTCGCGTTTCAAACCTGTTGAAATGAATGCTTCATTCCGTATATAGCAAAAAGGCCGAATTATCTGCGGTACTATCTGAACTACAGTCGTCCATTCTGACGCGCTTATTAACAGTCATCGTCAGAGGTCGGTGTGGTATCTACACCGGGAAGTCGATGTTGTCTGCCGCCTATTAGTAGCGTCCCAACTGCATCTGAATTTTCAAGGAAATGTGTTCGATTATCATAACCAAGTCGGAGCGTAATCGAGGAACGCACCAGGGTGAACGCATACTACATTGAAATCCTCAGACACTCGCCGAGACTTCCTCATATCTGTGTATCTCTCACTGATTGGACGATGGAGAGTATGCACTAATCTATCTGCTGTCAGACGATCAGCTGTGCTGCGCTCACAAAACGCTCGTGTAGACTTGGTCACGTGAACGCTCCGAATGGTATAACGACGTGCACCAGCCTTACTCATAAACAAAACACAATTACAATTCTCGTAATTCATTAGACCCCTCCAGAAAAAACGCGGGCTAAAATCCTTGATTATGCGATCAAACCATGCAGCGTTTTAATGTGGAATTCTTATGCGGCTGGTGATATTGCGGGAAGTTGCGAAATAAATAGATTTTTCAATATTGGGCTGTCTTATTTATTCTCTCTCACACACAACCTGCCACTAACGTTAAACCCCTTTCCTATTCAATTAAACACATTCAATATTTATTTATTGTAAAAGCAATTGGGCTATTTTAATCACACTCTCTCTCTCTCTCACACACACACACTCACACACACACACTTCTCCGCCTCATTCTGTTTTCATTTACTCGTTCGTTATCTGACCAGCTTCAATCTTGTAGGCTACTCACTTCGTTTCTTGTAGCCCTCGAAAGGGTTTTGGAGGTCGATGCCTCGGTGAACGTGAGTTGTTTGGCTTTCTTGTCCGCAGCAGCAGAAAGCATTTTCGATTGTTTGAATGAATCAAAGTGGGTCGCCACCGTCGATTTTCTCTTATGCTCCAACACACAGTTGCACGGGGTGCAGAATAGTCCCCCCACTTTCGTGAAAGACATCGGGGTACTGCTTTGCCCGGTCTTTAGCAGAAATGTTCGTCGGTAAATGAGATGGATCAGATTTTTTCATCTTGGTGTTTTCTCTCTCGTGTGAGCTCCACACGTTCACTCTACGGTGTTGTTTACCTTCTGTGATGCGCGAGCTGATGACGTCGCGTCATCATCATCACTACTTCACGTCAAGACGAGTTAACTTTTTTTTTTCTGAACTTTGTGTGGAAAAATGCGGGGATTATGGGGCCTTTTGATAAATATGCGGCCTTTTAAAAATCTGCGCCATTTTGCTGATTATGCGGTAAATTCCGCGATCACAGAATCGCGTTTTTCTGGAGGGTCTATTGAGTTGATATGTTCACAAGAATGTGTCGAACGCTAAAGCTACCACCCACAGACGCCACACTGACGGCATCCTGCATGCTTCTGTGGCAGCCAGAGACTGTAATTCTGCTTCATCCAGACAATACCTGATTGAGTGATGTGCATATCAACGTTTTGAGTTACTGTTGGCGTGAGAGAAGTTATGCAATTCCACTCATAATGACTTTGGGAGTTTTAAATGAGGGGTACACTTGGCCTGAGTGCGTTTATCTGCACGAATAAGAAATAAGGCGTTCTTTGTGCAGTCAATTCTGTGTCATTTAGGTATTGTGATGGAAACTTCTGAAGCAATGGAGACGAAACTCAGAGAGACACGGGAAGAGCAGGAGCTTTGATGGCAAACACTGACGGTTTATTTGGAGCTTCGGCCGGAGAATTCAGAAGGCATGTCGTGTGCCACGAGTTGACACAGTGGAGGCCAAACAAATTCTGAAGATCTCTACCCCAGACCCCTATATTTAGCTGGTTCTGAGAGAATAATCAACATGCTGCATAACAAGATAAAACAGGCAAAGCACAATAACACCTCTATCAGCTGACGCCAACAGGCAGGAACAGGGAGACAAGATACCGAGAGCACAGGGTTGCAGGCCTGTGAAGTACAAACTGATCAAATGGGTCAAAGTCATGGGCCTAGGAAAATATTTCCCCAACAGGTATGTCAAGTTTAATGTTTCCTGTGCTTTCAGGCGTACGTGTCCCGAGATGAAGCCCAAGCCATGATCGCCCGCACCCTGGCTGAGAAGGACGCCCTGAGGTGTCAGCAGGTGGAGCTCCAGGAGCGCGTCTTCAGCCTGAAGACCACCACAGGGCGCCGGCAGAGTTCTGATGTGATTCACCACTGAAGCCCATTTCAGCACGCATAAACACAGCATACAGACATGATTATGCTAATGTCTGTGCTCTTGTTAAAGGATTTGGACATGGATTGGGAGAGCCCGAGATCCAGCTTTGAAGAATCCCCATGCCTGCCCAGAATGCCCACCAGACGCAAACTCTGCCGCATGGACGCAGTCAATCCACTGTCAACCAGTTTCTGCAACTCAGAGGTGTGTGTGAGAGTGTGATGTCTTTTTCTCTTGTTTTATTTTTCTGTCAAATTCATGTACAGATCCTTGTGTTAAGAGATCAGGCTGGAAGTTGTCTACATGCTTGATTTTGTCTACAAATACCATTTAATAGCAAAACCACCAATTAATTGATCTTAGTAGCCTAAGTCTTACAGTATATCTCTTATTGCCAAAGAGCTCAATCTTCCATTTAATATGATCAACATATCCAAATCATCCCCTAGAAAATACACTAATGTTTCATTTCTGAGTGACAACAAATAACAGATAACAGGAAGGAAACAAATTAGTTTTTTCCAACTATAATTTTCACCCATTTTTCAAAGAGACCCTATTTTGCTTTTGGGCAGAACGCCTTAATGGGAATACTGTTTGCTTCCATAACAAAACAACATCACTATGTAACACTCGCGCTTCTATTGGCACAAAATACAAATATGAACCTGAAAATAAGCATAATATGTCCTCGTCAAAGGTTAACATTTGTAATATCAACCGAAGTGCTCTGGGATTTTATTCTATCTTTCTTTTCAGGTGATGAATTTAAAATATCATGTTGATTTTGGAACTGAAGCTTAGGTATCACTTTTGTGCCAATATTGACATTTCAAAATGATTTAAACTTGAACTATATTTCAACTATATTTCAACTATATCTAAGAGTTAGTGCTATTGTGGATCAAAATAAATACATGGGAGCAGGAGGATTTTTGATAATATTTCAGAGAATTTTCTTGATTTTTACTCAAGTGTGTGAGTTTTTTTCTTTTAATCCCAGAAATTCCAATTTATTAATTTGTAATATCTTTTTTTGTTAATGCTTTCAACAAACCAGTATATTAAATGACTGTTAACATCGTTTTTATTATATTCTTTTTATTTATTAGTCCTTTTTACACTGTAAATAATGTATATTTTTGTATAGTGTGAAGATGCTGCAGCGAGTAGTGTCCGATCCCGATACGCAGAGCCCCCCAGCCCCGAGTCCCTCCGCAGAAGAGAGGAAGCTCTATATGCAGACAGCAGGTGTGTGTTTCCACGTTCATCTACACTATTATTATATTGATTGAGCTCGTGCTTTGATTTGAAAATACGTTATGAGTTCCAGCCGGAGAGGCTTTTGGCATGACACCCAGCAGGAAGAATTAAGTAAAGTTGTTATTGACCACTGCATTCCTTTCTGTTACCATGACGGCATCCAGCTTCAGGTGGATTATTAATTTACAGGAAATGATTCATTAGGATCTTATTATACCAAGAACGAGGCAGAAGCTGCCAGCAGGGCACGCTGTGAAAAGGTTCTCGTACACTCAGACTCCTCAACTCTTGTATTTCTGCTCAAGGGAGCTTTTTGTATTCCCATGTGCTGACAAACCATTCATCTTTGTCGTCATAGGAATATAAATATTCCAACTCACTAAACCAATCTGTGGGTTATAGCGCCGACAGATAATTATCTTGTGCTTAGTATGAAAGCGGGCTCAGTATAAAGAACTAAACTCATCAGTGTATATCTACATGCCTGTATGGGCAAGAAAGTTCAAACGTGATAAATGTGTTCATGTAGCTTTGTTTTTCTCTCTTGCAGCTTGGACACACTGGAGAATGAATCTATATTGGACGACTTTGTGTTTATCCCTCACAGTATGAAAAACATTTTTGGCTAAGTGACTGTCTGTGTGTGTGTGTGTGTGTGTGTGTGTGTGTGTGTGTGTGTGTGTGTGTGTGTGTGTGTGTGTGTGTGTATGTGTGTGTGGGGGGGGGGGGTGCTGTTGTTTGGCAGCACTTTCATTAGCTTTTGTTCAATGTTGGACCTGTGCCAGGGCTGTGAAGTGACACACTAACTCACATGCACATTATTCCTGGGGAAACAACCGTGATGCCAGATGATTCAACAGCCTCTCTTTTGTTTAGTGGAGAGTGCAGACATGCAGAGAAACAGGCGTTCCTCTTCCCAAGGCTCCAGCGCTGGCAGGTGAGGACCAACATTGCTATAAATAAACCGTTTCATATTACTAAGCATTTTTGTGTAGAACAGAAAGCAGTCTACTTGAATTACTGGCAAATGGTTTAAATACATTTCAATATTTGCTAATTCACTTATCTAGTTACTGTTATATCTAAATGTTAAAATAAACAATGTAAATAAAAAATGCGTTGACCATCACAAATGGCCATTCAATAAGTATCACCATGGCAATAATACAACATTAATGGTTTAGAATGCAGTGACACAAAATAATAGCTCTCTAAATGAAAAAGTAATTTGGTAGTATATCCCTGAGTCTGTCAAATAAATATGACCCTTAAAGTGAATACATTAGAATATATTTTGTTAGCTGACAGTGACATCACACATATTAACAACCCAGTTTATTATTTCTCAATTTGGCATGTTTTGTTTTATTTCTTGTTTATTTGGAAAGGTGGTCCTTAGAAGTGGGCTTTAAGTAAAGGTTGAGAATCCCTGATATATACTGTAAGGTCTCACATAGTGCATACAGAGCACAAAGAGGGGAAGGGACTTTATCATCATTTCATCCAGCACACTAGATTATATATTCAACAATAACTGTGTGCTGACCCTCACATTTAAAGGTATGGTCAGCAATTCTCATCCCAAACCATTTTTTTAAATCAGCAAATACATCCTCGAGAAAACAAAATATACAGCCCTGGCTTTTTAAACTGAAAACATACAAAGTGGCTCGGAGCGTCCATGGGAAAGGCCTTTGGTGTACAAATAGAAAGGCAGTGGGAGCTAGAGGGACCATACATCTTGAGGGGGGTATAGGTGTAGGTGTTGAGGTCAAGTAACAATACAACACAGAGGGTATAGGTTTGTAGGCTGTATACTTTGAAATGATTTTCTCTGTTCTCAGTGAGAAGTAACATTTTTCCATACCATTGATGTCACTGTTAATAATGAAAATGTTTTTTTGATGTTCTAAACTTTCCTCCTTTCCTTATTTATTCTCACCAGCCTAGGTAAAACCCTAGCCCCTCCCTTCCTGATGCGCTCTCGTCCAAAAGCAATTCGCATTAACGGCCGCGTTCTCAGCATCTCGCTCCAGGGAGACGCGCTGCTCAGCCAGCTGGCAGTGGTGGGAGGGAATAAGACCGGAGTGTTTGTGCACCAGGTGACAGAGGGAACCGCTGCCCATACTGTGGGCATCAGCCCCGGAGCACAGATAGTGGAGGTGGGTTCAAACACATCATTTTGCCTAGAAGACGCCTACGGAAGCCCAAAAAGACACATGATCCACTTTTTGGTTTTGATCCAAGTCGTTTTTTTTGCTCTTGTGCCAAAGACTTAAGTAGATGTAAAAAAAAGTAGATTTAATTTGCACCAATCTGCTGTCAGCTCAGACATAAATATGCCATTACTTACTGAATTGCATGACGATATAAAAATTAGATGATACAAATAAAACATTTAATACATTAATATGCTTTTTGTCCTATTTCATTTAAAAAGAATCCTGAAAATCGTTATACTTGTTTTCAAGGATAAAATAAACTTTGAAAGACTATCTTGGCAAATGTTAGTTTTTTCAGCCATATTTCTTTGCACCTGTTCCACAGATGAAAAAGATATTAAGGGCCGATTAGAGAAAGATTATCCTGGCAAAATCTTCTTTTCACCTGTTCTTACGTCATAAACAAAGGAGAGAAAACGGTTTGGATTAGATTCAGAAACCTGATCACCAAAGGGTTTTTTTTCTCTCTTGCCTCTCATGGCTTCCGTACATTTCTCATATAACTGTTATTGTGCAGGTGAAGTACGAGCAGAACCAGAAGGCTCTGAGGATGGTGCTGGAAGATTCCACTTTAGAGGAAGCCATGTGGGCTCTTGGCCAGGTCACAGGCCTCTGTCACCTCTCCCTCCGGCCCAGGCAAGATGGTACGTCCTGCATCATGTACATACAATACTTTGGCCCCTTGTTAACCAAGATGGTACGTCTCATCATAAATCCCTAGTATCTCAATCCAAGCAACCAAAAGAATATCGATTCATAATAGACTACATTTCCCATGTCATATTCAAAGACCTGCTTCTTCATGCTTTGCCCTTTACATTTTCAAAAAGAAAATGTGCCTTTGCATTAGGGATGGGAACGATTAATCGAATATTCGAATATTCGAAATTATTCAGGTATTCGAATAATTATTCATGTATTCGAATATTAGTTATGCATATTTTTATTAATTATTTTTGTTCTTTTTTTTTTTTTTGGGAGTGATGTCTAAGTTGATTACATATTATCAAATTGAATAATTCAATGTATATATATACGACAGTGCCATAGCTAAATGTGTTAGTTGACGTCTAAAGGTGTGTTTTGCTCCGCTCACCGGTCCCTCACAGCGGGCAGAGCTGCAGGTGCTGGTCTCTCTCTCTCGGGTCCGGTTATACTTCACTCATGTTTATGTCCAAACCCATCAGATCTAGTTAATTCTAGCCAATGATATGGCTGCTGCCCCTTCCTAAACGCAGATCATGCAGACTCAAACCTCATCTTAGGCCCAAATGTGGCGCAAATGCGCTCCGCAGCCGTTGCTAGGTTCCGGCGCTAACAGAACATGAGTGTGCTCCCCCGCCCCCTGTTAACACTCGCGACACATGAGTGGCCAGCCTAAACAACAATAAGCGCTGCTTGGCAACCGTGTGTGGCGGCAAAGTACATAAACATTTTGACTGGAGAGATTTAGTTTTGCCGGTATTCAACATATTTTACCAGTCATAGTCCGGTAATTATTTACACTCTAAGAAGAGTCCTACACAACAGATATGGCGTCAAAAAGGAGTAATGTGTGGAAATATTTCGACCGGGTTAGTGAGTGCCACCGCACTCACTAACCCGGTCGAAATATTTCCACACATTACTCCTTTTTGACGCCATATCTGTTGTGTAGGACTCTTCTTAGAGTGTAAATAATTACCGGACTNCTCACTCACTCTCTCTCTCTCTCTCTCTCTCTCTCTCTCTCTCTCTCTCACACACACACACACATACACACTCTTTCTCTCTCACACACACACACACACACTCTCTCTCACACAAAGACACACACACACTCTCTCTCTCACACAGACACACACCAATGATGATGATGATGGTCAAGAGAAGAGAGAGAGGGCGATCAAGAGAAGAGAGAGAGTAATGTAACCTCCAAATGTAACTCCTATGAAAATGTTCAAAAAATGCTCAAACTTCACATGTGTGCTAACAGTCCAGCCGTGAAGAAATCTACGGGACAGTTTTCAGATTTCTTCAAATGCCGTTGCCATGGCAACACAATGCTCACCATGAAACACGGTTTTCTCTTAACTTCAGTGAAAATGCTCGAAATGGCCCAAGACTTCACAGGTTTGGTAACGATGCAGCCATCAACAAATCTAAGCGTATTATGGGATGTCATCAAATGCCGTTGGCATGGCGACAGATCATTCACCATCAGGTTAGTTTGCAGTTCAAATATTCTGCTGCTTTCCCAAGCCTTTTTACTTTCTTTCCTCTTCTTAATACAAATTCATTCACTACTACTTACATCTGATATTTAACTCCTTCAGCCTATTTTCAGCTGCAGAAACCATTCAACTATTACATTATTCAGCTATTTCAGGACATCAAGGCTATATATGTTGTTGCTTATAACTTTTTCTAAACCTTTTCTTTTAAATATTAAGCTTTTTCTGCATTTTTGTAGCTAAAAGCAGCTACCATTCAGCTAATAACATATTCAGCTTTTTCTGCATTTTCAGCTAAATTCAGCCATAAATGTTCACAGTTTACATTCACACGCATTTTCTGCAGGAAATGCATTTTCTATTTCAGAAATCATCCACACTAGGCTGAGATTTTAAAATAAAGTAAAACAAACTGTAATTGTTGTTTACGAATGTCCAATAGCTTCCAGTCAGTGCCAAATTAAATTGCCATTTCAATTAATGGTAAACATCAGTTCTGGAATTAGAGGTAGTTGAGGTCAAATTAAGTAAAGTGATTCATTTAGGTGAATGTTTTTCAAATAAGGTTTCCATATTGCTATGTAAACGCGTTAACATTGACAGCCCTACATTTATTAAATTGAGATTGACTGAGATATTCATTTCTGTATGTAAAAGTTGGTGTTTGCAGTCTGTAAATATAATTGTTTAATGACATGTTCCCTATAATACGGAGCTACTATCAAGTAATAGCAGGGTACATCTCTCTGTCAGGTGGATATGAGTGGGAGCTGACGGCCTTCATCATCGGGGTCTTCCTCCAGCTGCTGGGGCTTCCCTTCGTGGCTGTGTCTCAGGTGTCGCTCTTCTCCAAAGTCACCGCAGAGAAAACACAAGGTTGGCTCTTTTTTACCGCTTCATAATTCAGCATATTAGATCAACAGATTGCTGCTCAGCATATGTAATGCAAAGAAACACTTATACATTTTTTTTTTTGTGGCGCTCACCACAGGATTCAGCCAAGGTGTGAGGCGCTCAGTGGGGGGCCTAGCCACCATCCTGGGGCCTCTGTGGGCGGGGGGGCTGACCAACAATTTGTACGTAATGCTGGGCATGATGCTAGCTCTCCTCATCATGATCACAGTAAGTACAACACAGACCATTTGACTTTTAAAAGCATCAGAAAGTTGGTAACATGAGGAATTAAAAGATCTTCACATAAGAAGATTGACAACCCTCTTATGTCTTTACAGTAATTATGACGCTGGAACGAACAGCTAGCTTAGCAAGGCCGGAAACATGGGTTAACAGATAGCTTGGATCTTTCCAAAGTTCACGTTTTAAAAATGGATGTTTAAAGACAACTGGATACAGTAACAGCAAGGATATTGAAACCAATTTGACATGGTGACCAACTGTGAGGTCATAACTTTGAGGTCTGTGAACAAAAATGTTTTACTTGAATGGTGAAAGTGACATTAGTAAGTTAATGAACTTCCCACTGTAAAATATTAACAATGGTATTGTCTCTGTTATGCCACCTGTAGGAGCCATTTTATGGGTTTAGTTGGTGTCTCAGTTTACTTTATTTATATTTACTGCAATATTATTTTGGACACTTGGTGGCGGGGGTTAGCTGCACTGGGTGTATAAAAGGGGTCATAGGTGACCGGAGAGGACGAGGACACAGGAGAAAGAGCACACCGATTCCACCAGCCCGGCAAATGCTCATACCACAACCTTTGCCATTACACCACCAATTGGTTCCTGATCTGATTCATTTTATTCTTGGCAGTTTAACTTTTTTGGCTTCATGCGCCACTGAGCAACTGTCACACTGTATCCAGTTCTGTCAATCTATTCTATTGTGTTTGCTCTTTAATAACTACATTTAATGTTTGTTTAATGTCATTTTATATTGCCTGTGTATGCTTTGATGCTTTTATTGTTTTTTTGCAAAGCACTTTGAATTGTCTTGTTCTTGAATTGTACTTTATACATCTATATGTAAATTAGTGAGCTTTTAGAGGTCCTTTTTATATTATTTATTCTGTTTTCCTCTCTATTAAACTAAGGGGCTCCTAACTGTAGCTTCTTATTTAAAAATCCATCTACAGAACCAGCACATCTAAATCTCACTAAATAACAAGTAATATTTTGTTCATGCCATACAAATAACAAAGTGTAAAAAGTTTGTCGTTTGATTGTAAGTAATGTGCCTCACTATTTCTTGGCCAGGCACTGCCACTTCCTGCTGGAGCTTTATATATTATTTTGGCAAAAAAGAAGATAAATGTAGTTCCCTGAATGTTTATATATTGCCTTTCTTTTCAAACTCTCAATGAGCTGTAACTGGCATAGTTCAGCCAGCCTGTTTCTCTATTAGAAACTATTTAAAGCTTCTCCCACACTGAAAAACCGTCACCAGTAAAACCTTTAACTCAGCACTCTGCTTATTACTAACTCATGACTCGGTGCTCTGTATTCTCTAAAGCCATCTCACTGTGTGAATTTCTCAGGTAATGACAGTGCTGTCCTACGACCGGCTGACTGAGCCCAGGGCGGTGCAGAGCGCCCAGAGCTGTGACGGCGGAGGATAGAGCTGCAGACAGACAGACGGACTGAAACTCTGCAGAGGGAACTGTATGAATGTGGAATACAAATATTCAGAACACATACCTTACACAGCCTGCCATAGAGGAGAGCACACCACTTAAACGTTGTATATGCTTTGCACAATCTCTCTGTTGTCGCATTTGATTAGAATCTACATTTGCACGTATATAACCATCAAACTATTAATTATACTTTACACAAGGGGGCACCATTGCTCTCATATTGAATATTCAGAGGGGTAATTAAAGATGAAAGCTATTATTTTTAAACTGAACTATTTATATTCCCAGGTGTTGATGAAAAGATAAGAGAGCAGCTTTTTTTTCCTTGTGACCCATGTACTGAGTTTTCATTTCTTGTCTTCCTCTAAAAAAAATCGTAGTTGAAAATGAAACGGTTGACACAATGGGTGCAGGAGTGGAGTTGTCAACATCTAAGCAGCTCCATGTCAGTGCAGCTGATAGAAGAAGAGGGTCGAAGAAAGTGAAGCGCTATTTATTTGAAGTATTGGAGGAACGTTTCTAGTGTTCATGCAGAGCCTTGAATAATGAGGAGCTCCTGAATTAAAACCAAATTTAAGAACTGCTCGTTAATTAGCTATCTATCGTTCGTTTTACTATGGGGGGAATTAAAGTTTAATTGCCTGTAGGCCCTATTCATAATTCAGAACATGACAAGGTGTGACTTGTGTATAGTCAGCTGTTCTTGCCTACATCCTCCTCTAGGATGTGCTGTATACTACACATCTCCCCTGATTGGAGCGTGCTGTAAGCAACATCAAGGCATTGTACATTCCCTTTGTACCAATGAGCATGCGTTTGGCCAATCTCTGTGTT